TTGTCGAATGTTTTTATCAAAAAGTTGTGGAGGAAATGGCAAATCCAAAGCATGACACTCGATGTACTTTAGGCAGTAGACTCCGCAATCACTACTCTGAATGTTTTGAGGTATCTCTGTACCTGGTACTCGCAAATGTGTGAACGGCGTGTAGGGGAATCTCCACTTGTCTTCATCAGGTGCACATGTTTGAAGAAGGTAGGGTATCATAACAGCGAGAGGCTCCACAGCTTCGTCAATTTGGGCGTCAGATGCATGTTTGGTTCCCGCATGACTATCCCATATCGTGATATGCCTCGTCACAAATGAAACCCAGATAGCTACCCAATGGTCCCCCCTGATGTGCAACATTAAGTACAAATGGTCGACTTCATAGGCCCACGTCTTTTTAGTCTGGCAGTAGATAGATAATTCGCCAGTATAGTACGAATACGCTCCAGGTAGAAGTTTGCCAGAACCATCTTCATTCGGCTCAGAGTTTTTGAAGTCATTGTAGTCACGCCTGCAAATCGTAGCAAAAATGGAGTTGAGGAAGCAAATCCGGTCGGATACAAACCACTCCGGATGCTTGGATAATCGCAGCCTGAGTACGTTAATATAAGCTTCTATGTGCTGCACATTGATGAAAATAAGACATGAGTGAAGTCTGCATACGATGTCTACTAAAGAAGTCTACATATTAGGTCTACGTATGAAGTCTATCTATGAAGTCTAATATGAAATAGTTAAACACTAACCGTATTAGCTAGCTATTTCTTCGGTGTCCGGAGAATGTAATACCAGTCGATCGAAGAGCTTTTGGACGTCTTGGATAAGCACTGTATAAGTGAAAAAGTTAAACAGGAAAAAATAATATGAGGAAGTCTACTTACATAAGTATAGAAGTCTACTTACGGGTTTGCTTTCAAAAAGTTCATTAGAGTCGTATGCTTCACCCTGACACTGGTTTGATCGAAAGGATCATATCCATGGACACGGCCGGAGTGAGATACCGACGTTGGAATGATCGCCTTTGCGGTGCTATTTCCTAAGAAAGGACTCTTCTGTGTCGCAACCAGTTGTCGGTTTCTGGTTGCTCGGGTAACTATCTGAGCCGCTGCTCTGGCTTTGGCATTTTTGGCTAATGCAACTGCGTCAAAGTCAACATCACACGTCTTCGGGTCAATTTCACAAAAGCTAGGCTCGGAGGCCTCTTCTTCCTTCATGGCAGCCTTCTTTCCTTTTGCATCCCGGAGGCATTAACACTCTCACTCGCACCAACGTTGACATTATCTTTCATCGGAGCATCTTTTTTCTCTGAATTACTCTACAGTTTATTGTCACAAACAGGCATGAATATACAAAGGACAACACCAATGCTATAATTTAGTAACATGTTTCATCATAGTCTGAAAATTGGAAACAACTAATTTTTAAAACATAAGTAAATAATCTCACATGGTACATAGCCCTATTAAACATGTTCGAATTCAAATGACATTAGTATTAAGTGTTCCTATCTTTTGATGATCTTGTTCGCATGAAATGTTTTCGTATAGGCAGAGGGTTTTTGGTACTAACCCCTTCATGCTTCTTGGATCCAGTGACCTGCTGCTGGGTTGGCTGAACATTGTCTTTAACCTCTTCCTCAGTGTGCTTCGCCGACCCTGTAGTCAACTCCTCCACCGCGCGCTCTACAGATTCAACCTTGTCGGTGAGAAGTTTGATCTGCTTTTCACAGCTACCAAGACCATTCAGCATCTTGGTTGAAAAGCTTTTGAAGCATTAGTCGAAGTGCGCTTTCATAGTAGCAACAACTCCGACCCCTTCATCACCAACGAAAGAGGCGGCAGAGGCAAAGGCTGTGCAGTTTCTCTTGCGACTTGATTCATCTGAGGGAAGGCTCCTCTTTCCTGCTTCTCCCTTGATGATGTGTGCACCCAGAACACCTTCCAAAGGCCAATGGTTTTTTTGAGAACTTGAAATGGGGGTCATGGATTGCATTGACAATCTTGACAATATCCGGATCCTGTTCCTCATCATCCCAAACTGTAAACATATCCGCCAAGTCCTTAGCCACGCAGCACTGTATGCGAGCCTGGAAAAACATAATAAGTAAATGAATTACTAGCCATATGAAGCCTGGAAAAATTACGTATGAAGTTTACCATTGAAGTCTACTACTAAATGAGAATAACTAGACTAATACAGTTCCTGTTTTAGCATGTTGGCTTTGACGTTCTGTCGTCCTCTTGATCCTTTGTAAGCCAGCAGAAGAGGTGTAGGATCATTTGGCAATGGTTCGCCAAATTCAGCAGCAAAATTCGGCAGAGCATAGTACACCCACACTTGAAGAGCTTGCACAAATCCTTCTATATGAATGTTTTTGCTGAGATATTTCTCCTTAACAGACTTGATCAGATGCTGAAAACCAATTCTACCCCATGGGAACTTCTTAAAACCTTCGAGATCCATCACTAGTCTGGCATGGTTGACATTTGTGGATAAGCCTGGTCTCGTTGCCACTATGAAACCAGCGTAGATCCCAAGATATCCCAACCACAGCCTATCATCCCGAGACCATGATGAGCAGTTGGAACATGCTTCAATAATTTCGATAGTGCTTGGGCCGGACTCGACATCGACCCCCATTAGCTCCCAAAATGCCTGCATGTCATCGGAAAGCTCAAGATCAGTTACAGCCAAGTCATCCACGTACCCGCAGTTGAGTCCGGTGATCTCCTCAAACTCATGCAATAAAAACTGAACTGGAGTGGTGCCAATCAGGCTCCATATCTCGTACCTCTGCTTGCAAACTATCTGAAAGGTTAGCATGTGGTGCACCAGCCTAGAAGCCCAACCAAAATCCAAGTCGTGGAACTTTAAAAAGACACCCAACGGTGACTCGTAAATCTCTTCCCATTCATCCTCTTGTAGAGCTGACCGTAGTGCAGGTACCAGCCTATAATCATCAGCATAATAGCCGATGCTTTTATCCGGGGCTGGCTCACCGCCTTTGGTGTACAATCTTCTAGGGAATTCAGAGGCCACCATTATCTAGCACAGATTTCTGCATCAACGGTAACAAAGCTCTAATGAGAAAAACTAGTTATAACTAACGGTTTGAAACTATACACGAATGAAGTCTACTTTTACAAAATGAAGTCTACTTTTTGATACAATGAAGTCTACTTTTTCAAAATTGAAATCTACTTTTTCAAAATGAAGTCTACTTTTACAAAATGAAGTCTACTTTTGCAACATGAAGTCTACTTTTGCAACATGAAGTCTACTTTTACAAAATGAAGTCTATTTTTTTGCAAAATGAAGTCTACTTTTGCTAAAGGAAGTCTACTTTCGCCAGAGGAAGTCTACTTTCACATTCTAAGTACAATCTGAGTCGAGAAGTCTACTGAAGCCAACCGAAGCAATCAAAACATCAAAAAAACAGTATATGAAGTCTACGGAAGCCACATGAAGCAATCAAAACATCATAAATATGCAGTCTACTGAACCCAACCGAAGCAATCAATACATGATACATACTATATATGAAGTCTACTAAAACCAATCATCCAAATGGAATCTACAAAGTTTATAGTGTTTACAGCCGTGATTAGATGAAGCCGGCGTCGAGAAAATGCAACCAGATCTGGGAAAAAAAACCTAAGTACTCAAACCCGACGGACAAAATTACAGGAAGATAGAAGAAATAGAGGAATAACTAAGTATATATCTTCGGAAGGACATCTACTAACCGTTTTGAGGCAGGAAATGACGTTAACCTCCAGCGGTGAAAGTAGATCTGCAAAAAAAAAAAATTCTTAATTTCAGATCTGGACAATGGTGGTTACGAAAACAGAAAGGTGATGAATATGGAGGAGTAGGGAAGCATGGGGGTGTGGTTGGAGGAAGAAAACTTGCCTGAACGGATTTATCGGCGGCGGTTCTGTAAGTCGGCGGCGCCGGAGAAGAGAAACAGAAATCGCCTTTGACTTTTTTTTTTAAACACGAACTTTTGACGGTTTTTTTTACAGGATCTATAAAATTCCTTTATATAGTCTGGTAATTTCGTTCGGTTCGGGTAAGTTTTTTTCGGTTAGGGTTAATAATTTTACGAGGACTAGGTAAATTTACCCGGTTACAGGCAGTTTTCTTGGTTAAGGAAAGTTATTCCTGGTTTAATTTCGGTTTAAATTTCGGTTAGGTTAATTTATTTGGTTTAGCAGACTTCAATATAGAAGTCTACAACTTTTAAAACCTAAATAATAAATTTTCTTTTACCTAATTTAAAAACATAAATTTCCAATTAGCAATATGAAAAATAATATATGTACATTCGGGTTACGATTACAGAATTTATGAATATAAATTTGATACTAAAATGATTTTTTCTAAATTTTAAAATTAAATTTTCAGATTTAATTACTTAGTAGACTTTTTTTGATAAAAGAAGTCTAATAGTAGACTTCTTTCTGTATTTAGTAGACTTCGTCAGAGTGTAAACGGTAATTAAGACATCAAATTTTTGTTTACTCATACAGGATTAAATGGTCTTTTCGCTACCATTTTAGGTTATTTCTGCCAAATGTTTTTTTAGAGATCTACTTTCGAATTCAAAATCAAATTTTAGGTTATTTTTAGCAAAAACCCCATAAAAAAAACTAGAAAAAAATGATTCAAGACTTTGTTATCTCAAAACTCAAAAGCACGACTTTGAAGTTTAAAGAAATATTGATTGCGTCAAAGAAATATTGGTTGCGTCAAAGCGTTTTAGCAACCGTAAGAAGTTTGACTTGGGTTCTCTATTTAATATATGGGTAGATGAAAATATATATTAATGTCAATAATGTTGTTTTTCATTAAAACGTATAATTTTTTTGTCTGAATAAAGTGTATATGAATTTTCAATGTGTGTGTTAGATTTTTATATGTACAATAAAAGTTTTATGTATGTAGATCACACAAAACGCTGTAAAACGCAATTTTAACCATCCCTTTTGGTCGGGAGGATAAAATAGATAAAAAAAAAACAAAACAAAACATGCAAAGAAAAAGAAGAGACAAAGAAGATACACGGGAGAGAAGAGAGAGAGAGAGAGCGAAAGGGATTCGTTCTTTTCCCCTTTCTCTCTATCTTCTTCTTATGATTCTTAGAAAACTAAAAACTCAAACTCCGTTTAAGAAGAAGAGAAAAAACAAAAAAGAAAAAATCCTTCAAAGTTTCAGTCTCAGGTGGTTTCACACTGTTAATACTGATGATAAGTTTTGCTTCTTTGCGGCATTACGTGTAATGGTGAATCTATCCGAATTTCGTAAGTTATATAACTCTTCTTCTCTGTTAATTTCGTTTTCGTTCGAAGAAAAGAAAATTTGAATTTGGTGTATCAAATCTTAGATCCTGAATAGATTATCCGGTTTATATGAAGAACCCGGCTCCAAATTTCTCGAATTTTATGGTTTTTCAGTCTTATTTTGGCAGATCTGGAACACTAAACCCTAGAACAGACCATATCACTGTCAAAGTAAATGTGTTAACTCTTTGAGGATTTAGTCTCTTAAATGTGCTTCTAAATTGACGGTGCGTTAATGGGTCACGTCTGATTTCCGTAAAAGACTTCACTTTTGGTTAAAGCTTACACTTTTCAGGATTTACCAATTTGGGGAACGAAATTTTAGTTCAAATTTTGGTTTGTAGATTTTATTAGATCTTATTAGACTCTTGACATCATAGCTAACACTGTTTTAATTTCTTGGAATCATTGATAGAAAGTGTTAGGAACTGTTCATCTTAATTGAAATCATTTGCTTTATTGTCAGACTCAATTATAGTTGGAATGAGTTGTTGAAGGTTTGACTTGTCTCCTAAGCTCTTACTAATCTATCTGTATCATCTTCTCCTGTCTATTCTTCATTATTTAATACAACACACATACCTACATCTTTTTGTCTTCATGATTGCTCCTGACATGGTAGCAAGTCTTTGGGAACTAGAACCTGATTTTTATAACACTAAACCTTGCCCACATTTTTCTTTTGATCTCTGTATATTTGGAAAGTTAACATAGAGGGTTTAGTTTCTTTAGTGTTTAACAACACTTTTATAGTCTACCAAATCCTTGTAGTATCACAAAAAAAAAAACAGATATTCAGATGACTAAGTCATTTTAATATTAAGATGAAAAAAATGAGACCAATCTTGGTTATTTTAAGATGCATGTACTCTTGTATAACTGATTGAAGCCGGCCAAAAGGGATTGGTGTTGACTTTTAAATGAGCTGTTGTTGTATTTCAGCCAACTAGCAAAAATAGAAATACAAAAAAGAAAAAAAAAATTCATTTGAGTCTCTTAGTTTCTATGAAAACATAATGTGGCAGAGGGCTCTTTGCTTGTGCACCTTTCAGAATGTTTTATTGATTGATGCTTACATACAGGATAACCTCTAGTGAGGCATCCAATGTTGAAGGGAAAGGCAGAGCCTGAGCAGAAGAAAGGTAAACTTTTCATTTGAACATCTGTGATCAAAATGTTTCCTACTTTTCTTCTATTTCCACTTTCTGTCTTAATGTGACTCGGTTCTTTATAGCGAGTCTAACATTTGAATTCTGAATGAGCAGGTTGGTCAGAGTCACTGCTAGAGTTTAGGTCAGGGTTTGGGGAAAAGATGAAATTTGTGTCAAAGAAACGTTGGAAATCTCTTGCACCTCTTCATCTGAAAAGCAAATCAGTTGCGCGGTTTTGCTTCTTTTCGAAATTGAAGTCAAACAACCATGGTCCAGGCCGAGCACCAGTCTATCTCAATGTTTATGACTTGACTCCTATTAACGGATATATCTATTGGGCAGGCCTCGGTATATTTCACTCTGGTGTAGAAGGTATGCTTTAAAGGCTTGAGGTTTCCTTGTTGATATGGTCTTAAGAGTCCCAACATGTCTTATCGTCACTTCTAGCTAACTCTGAACATTTTGCTTTGATTGGCACAGTTCATGGAGTAGAATATGCTTTTGGTGCACATGATTATGCAACCAGTGGTGTATTTGAGGTCGAACCACGGCAATGCCCTGGCTTCAAATTCAAGAAATCGATATTCATCGGAACAACAAATTTAAACCCGGCACAAGTGAGGGAGTTTATGGAGGACATGGCTTGTAGTTACTATGGGAATATGTATCACTTGATTGTTAAGAATTGCAACCATTTCTGCCAAGACGCTTGCTACAAGCTCACAGGCAAAAAGATCCCCAAATGGGTGAATCGTCTTGCACAAATAGGTAGTTGAGGTGTTTTTTTTTTTGCTGCATTAGCAGAATTTGACAGATGATTTGTCTGTTAACACAACAAGTTTTGTTCTTTCTCTCTGCAGGTTCTGTGTGCAGCTGTATACTTCCTGAGTCGCTCAAGATCACAGCGGTTTGTCATGATCCAGACGGGCAAATCCCCGAGGAAGAAAACGAAAAGAGAAGTCTTAGGAGCTCATTCAGCTGTTTATCATCCATCTCCATGAGACAAAAACAGCTTTCTACATCATCATTGCTCTTACAATCACCTCTCAGAGGCTGTTTGCCTCCATGGCAACTGAAACGATCTAAATCTAACAGCAGTTCCTTGAAAGAAAGGTAGAAAAAGAACACATTCCGACATAAACGTCGTTTCTCAAGCACGCCGATGGTTTATCTTTCTGTCTGTGTAAGGGAGTTCGAAAACAGGTTTCTTCTTCTGGGTTTTTTTGTTTGTTGTAACCATTCTTCTTTCTGTTTGTATTGCTTCCAAAATTTGGATCCACTTCCATCTTTAACTGATAAAATTATGTATTGTCTCAACTCTGTTTATATCTAAATTAGCTTATCTTAGTTGAATGAAACACCATTTCTATTTTGCTTTCTACTTTCTATATCTCTCGAGGGTATAAACATTGAAATTGAATCAAGCAGACATAAAAATGAAATCTTTTTATAGAATATAAAATGATGATCATCATCAACAAGAAACCCAGTTCTTATGAGTACTGATAATGGCTGAAAACAAACCTGCTGAAGAAATCACATTCGGGGCAGATAACACTCCCTTACCATCTCTAAGATCTGCAATTGTCATTAACCCATCAGCAAGATCTTGAAGAATCGATAACACCTTCAATGTTTTCTTCTCTCTAAGCTTCTTTATCTTCTCGTCTTCTTCTTCGCAAGATATCCCTCTAGAAACAGAAATCTCAATCGTCGAAGCCACACAAGTCTCTTCTTCCTTTATCTTCCTCAAATCCTTGATTTTCAACGAAACACTCCCAACGTAACCAATCAGCTCTGCCCAAGCACTGATCCTCTGCAACCATTTCGAGTGTTTCGCATCGATCAATCCCGATTTCGCTAACCATATGAATTGCTCGACGAAATAGTACAATCCTTCGCCGCCGTACGCGATTATCAGCATCAGGAGATCGCGGTTCGTGTCCCATCGAGAGGCTCTGAGCGCGTTGATGTCTTGTACGAATTTTCCGAGACGGAAGGCTTTGCGGCTTACTCCGACGCTTGATTCGAAGCTCTTGAGTCGGGTGTTTAAGGATCCAGTTTCTGGGATTAGGGAAGATGCGAGGATGATCTTTGTTGCGTAACGTGAGATCTTTAAGAGCTTGTCGACTCCATCTCTCTTCGCGAGGTATGTTTCGAGGTGGTTTAGAAAGTCTCTGTTTTTAGGATTTATGATTTTCTTCTCTGAAGGTTTCGTGTCCATGGAAACGATTGTTTGGCAGATTTTCGATTAGGCACGCGAGGAGAAAGAAGAAGAAGAAGTAGTGATATCGAAACGCAGAGTTTTGACTAATTGGCTTGCGTGCCAATGTGGATCCCATCCAATATATATATATTTTTAATTGCTGTCTGTTTGAGAAAAAGAGTGCAACACGCTATTACTACTCCTCATGAAAACATCACTTGAAATGTTTGAGAAAAATGTGATCCAACATGTTAAACAATCTTCTTGAAAATAGTAGTTGGAGACGTCTTGGTATATAAGTCCGTCAAATCTTCACTTGAACGAATTTGTAGTAGATGTATATCACCATTGTGTTTTCAGTTGTCTCGTTAAAACTTTGTCATAAAAAAACATAATAGGATAAAAACCATGATAAAGAAAAAGAGTACAACTATCTATATTTCTATATGGAAACATCTTCTTCAAGAGATGGATACAAATCATATATATCATTTTTAGAGAATCATAACCTTTGTTTATACACTCATATGATTTTCACATTTTTTTAATTTATTGGAACTTATTAGACTTCTAGTCCATAACACCATTTTCACATAAATTATTTTCTTCGTATAGTGTTCTTCAAGAACAAGAATTTATTACTCTTAGCAATTTAAATTCTTCTTGCCTGCTTCGGCAGTTTAAATTTTCTTTAGACTAAATCAAGTATCTTTCTCATTATCAAACTCATAAAAGATCTAAAAAATAATTGCATCCACCACTGAAAAGAATATCATTTCAGATATCATTTTCATTTATCTTTTGTATAAAGATCTATTTATGTCTTACTAGTTTTACACTTTCAAGTGTAGGGACTACTGGTCCAAATAATTCTCTGCAAGAGATTCTAACTTTGCCTTTATGGCTTTTCCATGATTGGCCAATCATCACTTCACGTACGTTTTCTAAAACATCATCTTATACCATGGTTTCTGATCCTCAATTCTCATCATCAACTGCTTTACTGTATGCAAAAATATTATCGACGTTGATTTGCTTTTGATTCCATTTATTCCAGACATGACTTAGCTAGTTGAAATCTCTTATCATTACTAGGTACCTAGATTTCTTTCTCTCGTGTCTATGTCTCTTCTAGAGATTACTTCCTCGGCCTTGCCATTTTATATATGCTCTTTTTTCTTTTCTGGGGATTCTTATATATGGAACCATTAGGTCTATCACGTTTCATGTGATCTTTAGCCTAAAAAGCAGTTGATATTGTCCATCCGGGACATCAATATTAATTGGAACACAACTGGTATCACTCAATAGGGTCAGGAAATGCTTTTGGCATAGCTTTTCAAATAAATTATCTTTTTAACTTTTAGTGCACATCTTTAGTGAGGATCAAAATAATTTTTATTCACTGATTTTTCATCTGTTTATTTTCTTCTCCCCTTATAATTGTTGGAAAATATGACTCACTGAAATGACAGTCTGTAAATCAAACCTTATTAAAGAAGTTTTATATCCAACAATTCTTAACCTCTTTTGAGGTTCCATCTAAGATCAATGTGGTGGAGCAACATTATATCCAAAACTTTAAGATGGGAAATATCTGGCTTAGTAAGATTATTTGTTGGCTTAATGCGAATTAATGTGGTTTCACTCTAATCAATTAACCAAATACTTTCGAAAAATATAATGGATGATCAGTCCAAAATATCTCTCGTATAAGTACCAGAAAATCAATAATTTCAACTTTATTAGAGAGTGAAAACCGAACACATAAAAATCTTCTGGATCTTATTCGCATTATTATTTAACTGGAATAGCTTAACCAGTTATGCTAAAATAGTGAGATTTCCAGTAAATTTCTGGTTTACAATACACATTTATATCTTATATGATAGTGTTATACAATCCAATAGAGAATGAAATAACTTCTCTAAAATTTAGTGCCTTGGATAATACTCATGATGTGAAGATATTTAACATTATATTCACTCATTGTCTCGATTTGATAAATCTTAAAATCTTTTAGATTTGCTTTACACAGAATTTATCGAACGTGCATGTGAACATAATCTTCTGGATGTTTCATTTACTATGAATTGTGGGATTCGTCAATTCTCCCCTTCGAAATGATGACACTTCAAATCCATTCATCTCGAGTTGAATCCCATTATAGAATCAACAACATATCCAACTTGGGTCATTTATTTTATCTTAAATTCTCAATTTTTTGAGATTTGAGGCAATATAATCCATCAATGATTTCAAATCATTCTTATAGAGAATCATATATGCTCTTCTGGAGCATTCAATATTCTTTCGTACCTTAAATCAGAGATAAAGGATAAAATTGGTGGATCAAACTGGTGATGTTTTGCTTAAAGATCACAAAAAATTTATAATTAAAGCATTCTAAAAAAACAATAAACTTTCGTCTACAATTACAAACTCATTTTATATAATTAATATTTAATTAACCATGTAAAATTTTGAAATGTAAAGAAATCAGAACTGAGTCTATCAAAATAACACGGATCTCTATTTACCAAATATTCTCAAACAATTAAACATAATTTTATCAGATCACGTATACTAAATTTATGCTGTTATGTCAAATTAGTTTGGTGAATAATATTCTCTTGATAATATATTCAAACAATCGTCAATAAATTCAAATATTTTTAGAATTTACTAAACATCAGACCAAAAGAAAAATTCAAGTTTGTCAAGGTCGTGCACTTAACAAATTTTTTTCTATTAGAATTCAAATAATCAAACTAAATAACATTGGACGTAAAAACCAAACAATATATGAATTCATTATTTTAAAATAGAAATCCTTTTTAACCAAATTAGTGATTCATTAAACCATGTTACACCAAAAATATTATCGAACCAGAATAATGCATCAATTTATCCGATTAAACAAATAATTATTTATACCAATTTAAACCGATGCTCTTCTAAACTAACCAAATTAGCATGATAATATTGACCAAATGGATTTAATCAAACTAACAGATTCGGTAGCTCATATGTCCATGATTCAATAACGAAGCAATAAGACAATTGACTAAACCAACCCAAATTATTGATTCATTAAATCAAGCAATTCTCTAAATCAGCTAAACCAAACTAAACCATATATATAAAATACATGTGACAACAAATCGATCTCCTTTTCATAATAATTAGACGAACATATCAAACAATAAAACATAATCGATTCAAAATATCAAATTGATTACTCAGATTAATATTTAAAATAGAGTTTGATATATATATATATATGATAAGGAAACGATCAAATTAACCAACCAAAAATTTTAGATTAAATTCTAATTAATGATTTTCATGATAAATTCATAAATAAAACCTTAATTGATTCATATAACAAATTAAAATCGTTTTTGGTTTATAAAACAAAAACTCATTATCTAATGAATTTTAACAAAACTCAACCAATCAATAATCATTATTCTACCACACATACTCATCATTTGATTTTAAGTTTCGGTCGTGGTAGTATTCTAATATGCAAAGGCGAACTTATATAATATTATAATTGAATTTCCAGTATTTATGCATAATTAATTCAGTAATACGAATTGCTATGATATGTGGTATGACAATCATATAAGAGATGTGCATGTAAGAAACATGTTATATTTCGAGAAAGCTAAAGCAAGCAACATGAAAGACACGTACTCAAATTATTTATATGACCGTGTGATTTCACTCATAAAACCCTAATTGGTTTTTAAAACTATTACTTATAAATTAAAATTTCACAATCGATTATTTTTAATAAAAACTTTTTAAGCAGTAAAATATAAAGTATCGATTACCATCTTTTTATAAAATATAATCGGAAAAGACATAATCTATCATATGATTATATAATCGAAGAGGTATAACCTACCATAACGATTGATTTGGGAAAAAAAATATCACATATTATCCCGGAATAATATAAACATGAACAAAAATTAAATTTCACATTTTTGGTGGAAGAACAAAGAAAAAGACTATCGTGCTGATAATTGTTTTATCTTATTTCATAAATAATAATAGGTATTTATAGTATTTATAGTATTACAAAGACTTGAGAAAAAGCTAAAACTTAGAAAATAAGGAAACATAAAATATTCTAAACCTCCTTATGATATGAGAGTTATAATGGACATCCATAATATTAATTCATAACACTGTTGTTTTTTTTTTGCTTTTAACATCTATTTTTTATTAATATAAAATTCAAACATACATACAAAATATATAAAATAGGTGTCGCTGTTCGTTATTTGTCAGGAAACAAATATTTCCTTTTTTTAAAAAAAATTTCCTTTTTAAAAAAAATATTTGCATAACCTACCTACAGTTATTAAAACCAAATTCGATGGAAGTTTATACTTAATCTGATTTTCTGAAATTCTTAGATATCTTACGTTTTTTTTTTAATTTATTTAATGTATATGTCAAATCAAATTGGAAATAAATCATAACATGAAATAACCTTCTATTGTTGGTGTTTACCAAAAGCGATTCTATTGTTGGTGTGGGTCAAATTTCTGAAAGTCAAGAGGAAGCTGAGATTATTAAAACAAAATACATAAAATTCAAAGTTGTTTGTGGTTAATATTAATCTAGTTATGCAATCAAAGATAAAGAAAATTTGAAGATTGTAATGCTACTTTTAACCTACACACTTTTCATATACACACACAGGCAAATCTTTTTTTCTTTTAAATTACCACTTTAAAAATACAGTATGTTCTTCACATTGTACTCCCATCTCTAAAGACCCAAATTCTAAAGGTAAATAGCAAATGAGACAAAGGCTACATCAAACAGAAAATACGAAGAAGCAAATGAGACTAAGGCGACATCAAACAGAAAATACTAAGAAGCTAACGGTGCGATGCGACGATGAATTATGAGAAGAGGAGGCAATAGATTGATCAGAAGAAGACGTGGTGTGACTTGTGAGTCAATTTTGAAGCTAGATGAGGTTCACGCTACTTCACTACAAGAAAACAGAGATTTA